TTTTTTGCCTAGGGCGACGTGTTCCGGACCCCGCGCACCAATTCCGTTTTTCCGAAAAGCGCGGGAGCGGCCCATTTTCGCGTTTAACGCGAATTCAACGGGATTTTTTGGAGTTTAACGGGATTCAACGGGAGTTTAATTCCCCCGTTCTACGTTAAAAAGATACACAGTTGAACAGGGTGGGCCAGGAAGTGCGGGGAAGAAGAAACGTGGGATTAAGAACTCGAGTGGAGGTCGGAGGGTGGCGAGAGTTTAAGGCCCCAATGACCAGGTTGAGGTGTCGAGTACCTCATTTCATGGTGGACTTGGTATTCGGTAGCCTCAAGAGAGCTAGGGACCTGGTGGACTCGATCCTGGTCTGGATCCACCTCTTCCGGCCACAAACAACGAGCATGTTTTACGACGTGTCGATCAGACATGGGCCGTTCTGGGGGAATCAGGCCTGGGAACTACTCGCATTACTCGAGATCTTGATATTCGGATTGCCCCACCTGTCATTTGAAGAATATGAGCCAATAATTATCAGGGAAATAGAGAAGGGGGAAAATTACCTTGCTGGGTTGGCTGACCTGTTCGAGGAACCGGATGAGCAGGGCAGGCCTGAGGGACCAGCATGAGAAAACGCGTCAGGAAGAGGTAGGGAAATAAAGGATGGGTATTAAGATAAGTAGGCAGCCGTCAGCAAAAGAGGGGCAATGGTTGGAGTTCCGTCCGACCCAATAGCGCGGCAAGGAGGAATTAGGAAGACCACTCGCACCAGAAAACTCTGGGGCATTTGGAGGTCGAAAAGCCAAAAGGGTCATCCTCGATAAGGAGGCCACTGGGCTTAAACACCGCCCTAAGAGCCAAAGCGCGGCAGTAATAAAATGCCAAGCAGCGGCGGCAAGTTCCCCGGCGGAAAAATTTGAAGGACGCCCTGGGAAAGAAAATTCAGGAGAGTCGGACCGATTAATGCAAGACACAAAAAAACATGGGGATAGGCGGGTTTTAGGGCCGGGATTAGGGCAGTTATGAACAACCGACCATTTCTTCGCAAAAAATTTTCCATGTGCAGGCTAGGTAAAGAAATGGCGACTGAGGAAGGGATCGATGACCAGTAGAGCAGAGGGAATCAGGGCACGAATGGGGTAGGGGAACGAAACGAGGGATCAGCGAGGGATCGAGAGTCAGCCAAACTGGAAGGAACCCGAGAAGACGGAAAGGATGCCTCAATTTGAGAAAGCTAGGGGAAAGCTGGGGGTAGCAAAAGGGGACCTCAGGAAAACAGGGAAGGGGGAAACGACATGAGAACAAGCCCTCGGAACTCAGCAGGAGCCACCCCTAAAAAGACAAAAGTCTCGGATGCCAGCCGTAAATTGGCAGAGATAGAAAAGCAGACGGCAAAATTTAAGGCAAAGCTTATCGAGCAGATGATGGTCGAGGATGAGGAGGACCCCCAGGGCGCAAGGTCACGAGAGGGACGCATGACCGGTCAGGACGAGACCAGGTATGAGGAGAAGGATAATAGCCACAAAGGAACGCCTAGCAAGAAGGGGAAGGATAAGAACGACCCCCCGGCGGAGGGGACGGAAAACGCTATGACCCCGCCTGCCATCGACAGCGGCACTAGCTGACTGCCCGCCACGCCGAAAGTAACAGGGGCGTGCGACGGACTCTGGAGCCTTAGGGAAAGGGTGCTAGGATGGTTTGACCCAGAAGGAACGCCGAAAACCAGGGGGAAGCAGAGGGAAAGCAAGGAGGGAGAAGGGACTAGTGCAGTTGGGGAAGGGGGTACCTCCGAAGGTGGGCTCAAGAAGATAGTCACCACCCTCACCCGGCACTGAACAAAAACCAAGGGTACCTCGCAGACGCAAAGAAGAAACTCACGTTCGACAGGGCAAACATTACGGAGTTTCTGATAGACTATGAGAACCTAGCAACCTTACTGAAATGGACGGAAGAGGAAAAGATGGAGCACCTAGGGCAGCACGTGTCGCTAAGCTTGGGAAGGGACATTATGGCCATCGTCGCCTCCAGTGGATCCTGGAAAGAAAGTAGGAATGAGATGATGAGGAAATATCTGAAGGCAGAAAAAATGGCAACAGAGGCCGAATTAGCCGCAGTCAAGAGGAAAAACTATGCGACTTACAACGATTTCCTAATGACATTTACGTTAAAGGCGTTGCGAATTCCCAGAGTAACGGACCGCATAATGAGTAAATACTTCCTCAGGCAGTTCTCCGAGTTTGACAATGATAAAATTATGTCAGCATACCAGCAGACCAGTAAGTTCGAGCACAAAAGAGATATGGACTTCAACACCGTAACAGACCTTGCGGAAAAGACAGTGGTCACCGAGACACTAGCCCTGCTTAAGGAAGGGGAGGTCATAGATTTGACCGGGAAGACAGGGGATAAGGTCAAGAAGGGGATAGAGAGCTTGCACGAATGGGTGCACGGGGTTGACAGCAAGATGGACAGAATGGAAAATGCACTGTTAGTAATGCAGGCGCAAGTGTCCAGACCCGCCCTCCCACCCCAAGAGGCCGTGGTTCCGGCAGCTGTAGCAAACCGGGGGTTTGGCAGGAGGGACCCAGCCAACGAACAATGCAAGTATTGCACCATGATCGGACATTTCGTACGGGCCTGTCCGAGGCTCAATCACGATATCGAGCGGCAGAGGTCCAGTAGGTCCCTCAAAGGCGAGATCCTCGGACCCAGGGGGGAGCGTGTGAATTGGAACTCGCCAGGAGGAATGCGGCGAGCCGTCATCCTCCTGAATAACTTAGAGATAGTTGCCGTAGAAGCAGAGCCGATAGCCGACATTGTCTGGGACCAGCCAAGGGGACGGGGACCACAGGCCAATTTTATCCTAGAAGGCAATGACCAGGATAGGGTAAATATTACCACTCGTCGGGCCGGGGCAGAAAATAAGCTTATTCAAGATACAGTAATGGAGGAACTCGTAGGGACTAGCACGGGTCAGCAAGAGACCGAAGCCGCAGAACAAGAGAAGGTCTATGGGAAGCCAAGGGAGGACGAACCGGTAGACAAGACTACGACCGCAAAAAAAAAGTTCAGGTATCAAATTTCGATCCTGACTTCGCCAGAAATCGATGGCACCTTGAGTAAGCTACTGGGTACCATGGTATCGGTGTCTTTTCAGACCATGCTGCAAGCCAGCCCAAGGTTGCTTAAAGGACTCAGGCAGTTGCTAACGCGTAAGCACGTAGAGGTAGAGGAGGCCCCGGAACTGCAAGAGCAGGACACGGAGGAGGCCGAGGCGCCGCAAGGAGTCCCCAACCTCAAAAGCATTCCAGGGGGTCTGGGAGAGTTGGAGAAAGCCTTTGCGGACATCCGCCTAAGCCTACCGGATCATGAAGGTGGCGAAGTCATGAGGGCGCCACTCGGGACAAAGCTTAGCTTTCATGCATTACCAGTTGGGAAACTTAAAGTTCAAATCGGAACTCACCACACTAACGCGTTAGTGGACGGCGGAGCAGAAATCACCCTCATACGATGGGATTTCGCAACGGTCACGGGGTGCACGGTAAACAAGGAAGTAGTAGGGAGTATCCGGGGAGCAGGTGGCAAAATTCGTTTCACAGGGTATGTAACCAAATGTGCAGTCAGGGCGGGAATCCGGGAATCCATCTGGTCCTTTCAGCGGATGACCGTGATGGAAGAAATGGATTACGACGTAATCCTCGGGAGACCGTGGTGCGCCAATGTGGAAATGATAGGAATGCATCTGCACGACGACACATACATGGTAGACATAAAGGACCCGGTGACCGGCCGCGGGGAACTCCTCCGACTTCTTGGGACCGGAGGAGACCCTCCGAAGGGCAAATTGGCAACCTGGTTTCCAACATTCGAAGCGCGGAAGGGGGCATTCGCACGAATGGAAGGCATGAGGGAAAGGGTAGAAATTATGATCGAGGAGGCTTTTAGTAAAAAGGAATGGATCAAGATGGGTCTGCCCATAAAGAAGAGAAGGCCTGAGGACGAGTCCCTGGGGGTTATGGTGGCGGAAAAGGAGCAGGAAGTTGAACTTGGGGCCAGCCTGCCCAAGCCAAAGGAAGGCCGTAACGAGACCCCCGAGCTAGCGCTCGAAATCCCAGACCTGTTGCACAAAGTGGGGGTGGACCCAACAACGCTTGCCAAGTTTGAGGATGAGGTTCGAAAAGGCTACTGCCTGAATGGGAAGATAGTTAGCATTCAGCCCCGTATCATGGAAATAGCAAGGCCAATCCCGACCGTTCATTTTTTAGGAGAACGATCCCAGAAGGCAGTGTGCGAAAATACAAACCGGTAGGAAAGAAGACCAAGCTGGTCTCGATCCTAGTAGAAACATCAAAGGAAGAGGCCATGGAGAAAGAGGAGGAGATCCTAAAGGTTATAAGGGAGAGACGCGCAACGGAAGGGGATCGCATACCAAATGAGGTAGCAGATACCATGAAAATAGGAGTGGAAGGGTTTCTAACAGCAGAAGAAACTCAATTGATAAGAAAGGCATGCCAGGAGTTTCATTTAGCTTTCGCTTTCAACGATCATCAGAAAAGGCGATTGGACGCAAAGCTAGTTCCCCCTGTCAGGATCCACACCGTACAGCACGAGTGTTGGAATGATAAAGGGCCCGCCTATGAGTTTGGGATAGCAGCGGAGGTCACCGACCTGCTTAGAGTTAAGATAGATTCTTTCGTGGCTAAACCCACCGCATCCCCCTACGCGAACAAGTGGTTTGTGTTCAGGAAGCCCAATAAGACGCTCAGGTGGATCCAGAACCTGCAGAAGCTCAATGCGGTAACAATCAGGGACGCAGGCTCGCTTCCACAGATCGACTTGTTGGCAGAATCTCATGCGGGGCGGAGTATTTACTCCCTGGTAGACTTGTACTCAGGATATGATCAGTTGCCGCTCGATGTGAGGGATAGACCGTACACCGCAATGCACACCCCTGTAGGGCAGCTGCAGATGCAAGTGACCTCTATGGGCTTTACAAATGCGGTAGCAGAGGCGCAGAGAAGGATGCTCGCCGTCGCAGGGGATATATTTTCGAAAAAGTGTGAACCGTATATAGATGATAATCCCGTAAAAGGCGCAAGGTACAAGGACGAGACGGAGGTCGAGCCGGGCGTATGAAAGTTTGTATGGGACCACCTGCAGGATATTAAGGACCTACTCCAGCGATTCCTTGTTTACAATATTACTGCAAGCGGACCCAAGAGCATCCTGGCTGTTCCGGAAGTAACCATACTGGGATTTCGTTGTGGAGCTCATGGGAGGAGACCCGACCCAGCAAAGATAGATAAGATCTCCCAGTGGCCGACACCCCTGCGCACCACGACGGAAGTACGAGCCTTCCTAGGGGTGGTTGGGTTCTGGAGGATCTTCATCAAAGGTTTCGCAAAGATAGCAGAACCTATCCGCGCGATGATAAGGGAAGGTGGCACTATGGATTGGACCGAGGATAGGGAAGAGGCAGCCCAGACCCTAAAAGACATCATGTCATCCGATCAGGTCACACTAGCAGCACCCTGTTTCAATGACGAGGTAGGACGGCCCTTCATCTTAGAAACAGATGGGGGACCGCTGGCAGTTGGAGGAGTATTGATACAGAGAAGCGAGGAGGGCAAGGAAAGGCCAATTGGATTTGAAAGTGAGACCCTGAATTCGGCAAAACGGCGGTACTCACAGTTCAAGAAGGAGGTCTCAGTGATTCTGCATTGTCTTAAGACCTTCCAGGCATGCCTGTTCGGAAGACGATTTATCCTAAGGATCGATCCCACCAACGTTGCCGGGGCCCTACAGAACTACAAGCCTATAGATCCGACTGTTGGCAGATGAATAGGCTTCATATGGCAATTCGACTATAAGGTCAAGCGAATTGCAGGCCTTCGAAATAGGGCAGATGGGCTGAGCAGGGTATGTATCACGCTAGAAGGGGTAGAGGACGCGGAACCAATTGACGCCTTCCTGGAGTACGAAGGAGGGACCCTTGTTGTGGATAATGAGATGGCAGATCCAGCAATTACAACAGGTCAGTTGCCGATTCAAACCTTGGGAAAGGGCACACCTGCAGTGGTTGCAGAACTCAGGGAAGGACCAGTCACCACGGTCAGGCGTAAAGAGGGGAAGGACTCGTGGGGAGCAGAAGTAGGGGCCAGGGAAGAATTGATGCCGATGACCGTGGAAGGGGGACGGGACGCCGTAATGATGTTGGCCGAAACCTGGGCGCAAAAGGAGTGTCAGTACCTAGTCAACCTCACTCGGGAAGAGCAGGGTACGGATAAGAACGAACAGGAATTCGTCCTCATACAGATGTAAGAGGGCGTATTCAAAGAAATCGGTTTGCTGCTTGTAGGAAACAAACAATCCACGGAAGTCAGTCCCAAGGCAAGGGAGGAAGTAGAATAGTATGTCCTAAGAAACGGCCACCTGTTCAAGAGAGAGGAAGGAATAATGCCTAGACGCGTCATTTGTGGGAGGTCTAGGCAATTGGACGTAATTCAGGCAATGCATGATGGGCTAGCTGGAGGTCACCGGTCGTCGAAGGGGACATTGGCAAATATCATGCCCCTGTACTTTTGGCCAGGGATGGCAGGCATGGTCGCAACGTATTGTTAGACATGTCTGATATGTCAAGAGAGGAGCGTCGCACAAGTTTACGAGCCCCTTAGACCCACTCGGGTACTGGGACCTGGACACCTGGTTCACCTCGACCTTGCCGTAATGCCCGTACCAGCGGATGGGTTTAGATACATCTTGGATGCAAGAGATAATCTCAGTGGCTATGTAGAAGCCGTAGCCCTCAAGAAGAAGACGGGGAAAGCAGTGGCCGACTGGGTGGACGATTTCTACCTAAGGCACCCCTTCGTGCGCAGGTTTATAGCAGACAATGGGACAAAATTCGTTAACCAGGAGGTGTTGAACAGGCTTAAGACACTGTGTGTACCGATCAAGATCACCGAGCCCTACCATCCTGAGGCAAATGCACCAGTAGAAAGGGGTCACCGGACTTTGAAGAACACAATCGCAAAGTTGGCAGCAGATAATTTGGGAAGTTGGCCACGGTTTCTCAAGCAGGCAGTCTTCGCCGAGAACATGACTCCAAAAACAACAACGGGATGTATTCCAGCAGAACTCTAGTATGGAAGGGAGATCGATTTTCCGATAGAAGCTTTGGTTCCTACCTGGAACAGGCTAGATGACGATCCACACTTGAGCACGGAAGAGTTAATCACCGCACGTCGTCAGCAGGTCGCCAGGAATGAGGAGGCACTCGAGGAAGTAGTCAATCGTGTGACGGACAACCGAATGAGAGATAAAGCAAGATGGGACCAGGTTAAGAACATTCGGAAGGAGCCACTCTAGGTGGGGGAAAAGGTGCTAGTTAGGAACTCGACTCTTGAAAGCACATGGTCCGGGCAGCTGGGAAAAAGATTCAAAGGGCCTTACAGGATCGCTAAGCGGGTGGGACTGAACACATTTGAACTTGAGGATCTCGATGGTACTAGTATAAGAGGGTCATTTACGGGACAAAGATTTGTCAGATTTTTTAGCAGGGATCCGGTGGAAGAGTGGCTACAAGAGGTCCAGGACAGGGAAACTAGGGAACTGACAGCCTGAAAGGCAAGCAACTGGCTATAAGTTCTGGACCGCCTCCTTGTGGAAATGATCATGACCACAGGGATTGTTCGTTTGTGTGTCTTGACTTTTGTGGAACGTAGGGAGATTGCCTGGGCTGACTGTGACTGGGCCTGGGAGCACGGGACAGTGTATTAAAGTTTTTGTGGGGTAACGCTGGGGACTGTCTACGCGAGGTACTTATGGGTTGGGACAATGTACCATAGTTCTTTTTGGGGGGGGGATGCTGTGGACTGCCTACAAGGGGCACCTATGTGTTGGGACAATGTGTCAAGGGTTCTAAGGGATAATGGGGCTACCAACTATATGGGGGCAAGCAAGAGTTCTAGGGAAGCCTCCAGAGCCGCAAACGGGAGTAGAAGGGAATGCGTGTGTATGAGGGGTACCGTGACTGTTATGTATGAACAGGTTCAGCCAAGAAGAAGGAAGACAGCAAGAAAAAAAATGGAGTTTGGGAATGAAAATGACGGCTATGCAATTAACAGGCCGGAAGAGGGACAATCGTCAAGGCAAGCTGGAGAGTCAAGCTCCAGGAAAAGAAGTTGTATGTGGGGTTCGATCACAACCTAGTTGTGAATAGGGGGGGTAGAAAGCAAGGAACCAGAGGGCCGTCACCACTAAAGGAAGGGGAGCCAATAGAGCTGCCTTCAGACGGTGATCATAGTAGTAAGGAAGAGGGGAACCCAGAGGAAGGACAACGGCCGGGAGAGAGTGAGCCCGTTGAGTTCATTGACCTCACCAACGACGAGGAGGAAGATGAGGTAACAACGCCCACAAGGGAAGATCGGGGAAGAGAGGAGGATCCAGGGGAAGAAAAGGACCCATGAAAAAGAGAATTCGGGCCAACTTTCAGCGATTGGTTCGATCAATAGGCCAGTATTTTGCGTTATCAGTGGGCTATGAAGGGCAAGGAAAAGTTGAACAGGGGAGAAGACATATCCCCAACAACCTTCTTTTCAGAAGAAATGCTTCGTCATCTACAGACGATAAAGAGGCTAATGGAGCAAGAGATGGAGGACCGTGCAAGGAGGGAGGCTCGGCGCAGGGCACCGGGACAGTAAAAGGGGACAGCAGGCATGATGGGAATAGCTGGGAATCGGGGAAGGGTTGGTAACCGGGCAGCAAGAACTGTCATCTTTCCTTTTGCGCATTTAAACTTCTTTCCGAATGAACTATGATGGGACAACTGCTAAGCTCGAAGCGGCTAAGGACTGGGTAACGAATGCTACTTCGTATAAGTCGTTGCTTCTTCGGGAATGGGCACGGGAGTTTTTTGCACTTAGAATAGGACTGTGGATCGCTGGGATGGCTAAGGGAACGTAAGGGAAAAACAGAGGGAACTAGATGAGACGAGTCTGTAATGTTGTCTTGCATTCAGACCTTGTCTCCTCGTTTTCTTTTTAGAAAGACTGCGATGTAACCACCTTTTGGATTGAAGAAATTAGTAGGGGGTGGGTGACCGGTGCTACTTTGTATGAGTACCTGCTCCTTTTGGGAAACATGAGCCTTTTGTCGTAAGAAAGGGACTCGGGGTGATTGACTTTGTCTCAAGGAGATGAGCAAGGGCATGTGAACCCTTGAATATTGGAAGAAACGTTGATGACAAAAAACTTTCTCTTTGAATTGTGTACCCATGGTTGAATGAGTCGTTGCATGAGTCCTTGTGAGAGGTTAGGGGACCTATGGGTAGAGAGGCACCCTCTCCCCTAGGAGCCTAATCCAACCTACCCCAGACAATCCCAGAGCATTGAGAAGCATATGAGAAGTCAAAAAAGTGGCAGGGAAACACTGAAATGATACAACACCCCTTGCAATGGTTGAACGGTCGGGCGGGCTAGTTCTGCTTGGGGCCGCGAGCCTCAACTTGAGTACTAGACGCTAAGTCGAATGTATGGATGGATGTAAGAATGACAAAAGACATGAGGAAAAGGAAGAAGCATGCGTAAAAACCCAAGACGATGGCCACCCTCTAACCCCCGAGACGAGATAGGATCCGTGTCCTCGAGGCCCACCCCCTCGGGCGCTAACATTGCAATGGACAAGGATGACCCTAACCAGGCTGTTCAATTAAAATGGACAAGGATGGCCCTAATCAGGCTGCCCAATTAAAATGGATAAGGATGGTCCTAACCAGACTGTTCGACTTGGAATTGGAAAGAACGACCCTAACCAGGTTGTTCGGAATGGCCCCTCACAAGGTTCATTCTTTGGAATTGGCACTGGGGTCCCCTTGCATGGCTGCTTGTGATGCATGGAATTGGAAGAGTGAAGCTTTGGAAAAGAGATTGGAAGAGCTGAGCCTTGGAAAAAAAATTGGAAGAACTCTGCCTTGGAAAGGATATTGGACTCATCCCTGGAAGAAATATTGGATTGAGCCTTGGAATTGGGTTGAGCACTGGACTGAGATTGAGCATGGGAATGAGACTGAGCTTTGGAATTGGATTGAGTATTGGAAATTGCATTACATAACCAGGGGACCCTAGCCAACTCTGAATGGACTTGGAAAGAGTTTTGAAACGGAATTTCTCTTTTCTTTTAGTCCTTGGCCTCAGCAAGAGGGGGATACCGGTGCATGAACCACGAACACCAAGACCTCTATCCCTTTGACTGGAAAAAGTCTCAGCGCGACCTGTTCCTCTTCAAGAGGGTGAGGGTTAAAGGACTAAGGCACCCACCACTTGGATCGGTGCGGGACGTCCGGAACCACCTCCGATAATGAGCTCCAGTCGGGGAGTTCCAACTGCGCCTCCTGTTGAACGTCTAAACATCAAAGGGCGAGAGAGCCAAATGGGCAGGAAAGCCATCCTCATCTAGTCTATTTTGCTACTCTCCAACCACACGCCATGTCATAGAGGGGTGGCATGGTAGTTTGGGTTGGACCACGACTGCCCGCGCTAAGTTGGGCAGCACCGTCCAAGGGGAGAGGCTGGACGAGGTACCGGGTCGAATCCGCCACCACCACGGGGCATTGACATTGCCCTGCCGAAACATTACAACCGTTCCGGGACTAATTGCGATAACTTCGTAACTGCACTCGCGAACTGATCGAGAGCCCCAACTCTCTTGAAAGAAAGAGGTCGGAATCCAGAAAATTACCACTCGGGAGGAACGATTTACGAGGAACGCTCTTACGGCTAGACGAGGCCCTGGCAGGCTTGGATTGGACCTACCTGGCAGACGCGGGGAGGAACCCCAGTATTGGTGATCGCCACGTAAGAGAAGAAAGGTCGGACCGAGTAGAAGGATGAGGCGTCGTCCGCTGGGGAGGAACTGATCACTCTTCCTTTTGTGAAGCGGATGGGCTTGTGTCCTTGACTTGCGGTTGGTGGGCCAAAGGTCTCGTACCTCCGAGTGAGGACCAGTCGCACGATGGGGACATCGCGTTTTGAGTGGGGGGAAGGTGTGCTGTCTACCAATGAATACGCATGAAAATAAAACTTGTAATTGGTTTTGGGAAAAAGGGGTCTGTCAAGATGGCCGGAATAGAACAAGATAATAATTGACTTTGTATGGGCCTGAAAAAAGGGGGTCTGGCAAGACGCCAGAGCAGAAAAGACTTGAGTAAGTGACATGGTATAAACTTGAGAAAATGGCTTGGCAAGATAAGCAGGAAGGAAAGAGCTGGTGTGATTGATTCTGCATAGACCTAGGAAAGGAATTGGCAGACTGAGAATTGGCTATGTAATTGGCTCGTATAAGCTTGAAAAGACGAGAAGTGGCTAAGGGGTGAGCCAAGCAATGCACATGGAGAGTCAATTAAGTAAAGAGCAGGAAAAGGCAGAGGATGATATGCATGCGGAATTGGCAGGACCTGACAAAGGTCGGGAGGAATGACCCGGGAAGGATGCATGTGGATTTGGCTATGTCCGAGCTTCGGGGAGAGGAAAAATTGTATTGAAAATGAGTGGATGTCCTAAGAGTAATGAATGAGACAAAGCCAAAATGATTTTTGCTCGAGAATGTTTTCTCAATGAAATGGGAAGATAGATATGAAATTACGAATGCAGCATTCAAGACATTGTCGAGAGCGAGAAATAACGTACAATGAAAAACTAGCTGCAGGGCATGTCTGTGGTAGACCCCTCCAAGGGGCGATGCTAGTCAACTTGATAAGGAAAAGAGACATCAAGCTGCTTAAGCTCCTTGACGTGTTGGAGGAAGCCATGGCGAATGATCCTTGTGACATTCGCCGCCAAAATCTTCCTCTTACCATGGTCCATGGGGAGGGTGATGGGCTCGTCGTCCTCTCTTTTGTGGGACGACACCGGAGGTTGGTGGGAAGCTCTTGGGTATTCGGGAGTTCCAGTGAGAAAGAGATACAACTGTGAGACGGACGTTGATGCATAGAGAGTGTCATGCGCTCGTTACAAAGACATTATTGAGCTTGGGGACGTTACGCAATTCAAAGGAAACCCGAAACAAAACCTTGACCCTTCCATGCCCTCCCCCGCCCCGAGGGCGAAAACTTAAAGAAGGACCCGAGAAAAGAGTGGGAAAGACAAAAAAAACCCTGGCAAGCTAACTACCCATCCCACCCCACCTCTCTTCCCTATCTGTCTATCACTCCAAAATTCCTACTGACCATGGATTGGTGCGAGATGAGGACATCACGAATGAGTGGGGGGAATATGTCGGGATTGGTGAGTCTCGAATGACTTCCCGTCACTCGAGAGACTGTATATGACCAATTTGTGCACAACAGAGAAAAACCGGAGGCAGGTATGCTGGAAAGAGCGGAATCATGGGCACTGACAGTAGGAAGCCAAAGGCTGCCCAGAGTCGTCGGGGCCGCCAGACTAGAAATGGGTTGGCTAAGCAGAAAGCGGCAAAAGGACTGTGAGAGAACAGCAGAGGCGACTCCTTTCCCAAGGACGGAGAAGGGCCGCCGGGAAGTCGGTAGTAGCATAGGAGGTGCGCAACAAGGGAAGGAAGGAAGTGGGAAAGGACAGGGCGCAAGGCGCTGACGCAACGCGGTGGCAGGAGGGTCAGGGAGACCGCAAGGTAGGTGGGAGCCGGCACCCGGAACGGAATAGCATGCGGGACGCAATAGGAGAGGGGAGCGGAGGTCGCTGTAAGGCAGAAAGACGTCAGGGGCACCAAGGAAAGACGTGGTACAGGCGGGGCAGGAGTGTCGGGGACCACATGGAATCGAAGGACGGGGCGGTACCAGCAGGACAAAGCGTCGGGGACCACGCGGGACCAAGGGACGACGTGGTGCCGGCAGGGCGAAGTACCGGGAACCGCGTGAGACCAAGGGAAAGACGTAATGCAGGCAGTCCGAAGTGCCAGGGACCGCGTGGGCCTAGATAAAATGGCAGCACCAGCAAAACCACTAGCAGATTGGGTATCGATGGAATAAAAAGTGTCAGGAGCCGCCGACAGGGATTGTCGACAGAACGGAGAAGACGGGCGCGAGGCGGGAAAACGGAGGGAACCTGGGGCAACCCAAGGGGGTCCTGGATCAAATGCGACGACAACAGAAATAAAGTAGCATGACGTCAGGTGGACGGGACCAGCCGGGCCGGGGAGTCCGGATGAGAACGTTAAGTGCCGCCACGGCAAGCGCCGGCGGGAGGTGCCGAGGGGAAAGAAAAGATGGAGTAGCAGCAGTAAGGGGGGGTCGGCCAGCAGTCTGAGTATCCCAGACTAGCCAGGCCAAGAAAAACGAAGTTCTGAGGGCTCCACATGGAAAAAAGGGCTGGCCAGAGAAAATCGGAGCAAGGGGGTCTCAAACTGGAGGCGGCGGCAGCAAAAAGGAGCCCCCTTTGGCCTTGGGGGTGCCACTACTGCAGTCCGAGGTGCAACGGCCATATGCCGGCTGCAAAATCGGACCTTGGAAAAGGTCCAACAACTAGAAAGAGGAGAAATAGCTGTTGGACACTTGTCCCAACAGTAAATGAGAAAAGAAAGGAGGAAAAGGGGGGAGAATGAGACAAAGGAGGAGGAAGGAGTGGAGGAAAAAGTGCTTCCAGGTTGGGACTGCAGCGGTGGGGACTGGCAGGTCT